AGCAAGAATGGGAAAGAATTCCACCTACAAAGCTTCAACAATTAGTGTCCTCAGTTCCCAAACGCTTATTGAGTGTTGTTTATTGTTTATTATTATTATTATTAGTAAAAGAAAGATAAAAAAGTGCCCATTTATGATTTGATTCCAAAAGATTAGGGTTTCATTTCTAGCAATTACAACACACAAAGTGCACCAGGTAGGGATGATGCACATTGTCACACGTAGTGGCTAAAAGTGTTTGTACTTTTGACACATCTGGTTGGACCTGTTAGTTGACTGTGACACATGCAGGCGAGATTCTGTTATGAATCGGGGTGGGCTCACACCGTAACCTCATCTGTAATCTGACACAATTGCTGATATCATGCTGATAAAAAACGCGAGCTTCTCGATTCTGCTTAGCTCAACCGCCGCGGAGTTTTCCCCGCAAACACTCAAAAACGCAGGTGAAAAGGTTCCTTGTCGTGTTTTGTCTAGGGTGTTGTGAGAAAACTTGTTCAGCATGTCAGTAGGTCAACAGTCGTCAGGTGTCTGCTCGTGATCAGCAGCGGCGCTCCGGGCAGGCTGCTCCCATGTGTTACAGTTTCGGTCGGAGGCATATTGCGCAACTGACGAGCTGAAATCCATTATTCACCTTTGAACTTGTAGTTCGTTTCACACTGCATGTCTGCGTCTCGTCTAATGTTTTGGTTTTGTTTTGGTATTCATTATTTTTTGATAAGATAAGACAAATATTCTTTATATGCAAAACATCTGTTTTATGAATGACTACAAATCCACACTTTCCACCAGCCTTATTTTGCACTGTCGACTTGCTACAAAAATGTGGTAGAACTGGTTTTCCTCAAGTAGTTTTCCACATTTTTCATGCAAAATTAAGTTTTTTTTATTAGCTGCATTATATTGATTATTAAAGCCCATTCTGAATAAAAAATACTAAATGTAACCACCTTCACTGGCCGACTCCAATACTTCATTTTTACTAGACGTTTATTCGTTTCTGGGAAATTCAGAATCTTGGCAGGCCTCCCATTTATTACTACAGGAGTGGCTCATTCTTTTCAAACTGTCTCAGCAACTCCAGTCAAACATTGCCCGTTCCATTGTAGATGTGTGTAAGGATGAAAATGTCCTCGTAGCTTTTTGAGCTATCAAATCAGTGTCCTTAAAGGCAACATCTGAGCTGCGTCTCATGAATGGAGCACTTGTCTGTTTCCGTCTGCGTGAATGTAGCACAGAGCCTTGAAAAGAGGCTGCACACATCCAACACAGACACCTTGATTATAGATGTGTGTGTGTCCTCCCTATTTGTATTTCTCACTCTTTCTCACACACACACACACAGTCCCACATTCCAGCTGTGGCCCACGCATTTTGGCAGGGAATTAAGGGCTCTAATTATGAGGTTGGGGGCACAAGTTTTGGGGATGTATTCATCGCTGGCCACCGTGACGACACCAGAACCACACAATTAGCATGCGTGCATGTTGTGGGTGAGTGTGTCTGTTATGGATGTGTTTGATGCGGGCAGGGTGCACAACTAGTCTCTGCCCAGCTCTGATTTCTTCCTCTACCATTGTTCTAGATTGGTAAGTGGAATTGGAGGTCCAGTGTGTAACATTTAGGAGGATCCATTGGCAGAAATGGACTACAATGGTCATAGGTATGTTTTCATGAGTGTTTAATTACCTGGGAATAAGAATCGTGTTTTTGTTCCGAGGCCGCCATGTTGAACCACCATAGATGGAGCGCTTTAGAGCGAGTGACGCAGCCACCGTTGGAAGGACAGAGTGAGGCCAGTTGGTTGCAGTTTGCAACTACACCGCTAGATGCCACTACATCCAACACACTGGTCCTTTTAAATCCGTTTTTTTTTTTTTTTTTTGAGGTGTTGAAAAAGACACAACATTTCCTATTTCTTGTTGAGCTGTGTGTGATGAAAGCCAGCTACTGCAAATGGACTGTTTCATAGGCACCGTTCCCTTTTTCATGGCATTCTTCTGAGTTTGCATAATTGGCTACTTTTATTTCAGTATGTGCTTTCTTTAAAGACGTCTGTCTTGTATTTCCAGTACCATAAACATCCCCAACACAGTCATCCCCCTCTTCTTCTTCTTTGGGCTTTGAACCGCATGCATATAGCATTGCAACATCAATGCATGTTGTTACATTTACATCTAATAACAGTTCAAATACGTCACAATTGCACACACACTTCCTGAAATCCAAAAAGACTCACCGGCCTCATTTTAATCTAAGGTGTTTTTTGTTTTGTTATGTTGCTTTTTAAGTATTTACTAAGTATTTCTTTGATTCCTTTATTAACAGTAGATGGTAAAGTGATGACAGGAAACAACACCAAGGAGAGAGAGAGGGAGAGAGATAGAGGAGGATTGCAACGCAGCAAAAGATCCCAGTCAGATGTAAATGGAGGACTTCTTTAAGTTCATGGTTGTCGCCTTAATCCCTAAACCACCACGTGCCCCTGTTCTGAAGTTTGACATCACATCATAGAGAGCTGGCACTGAAACCATTCTCTGATACCAGTTAGGTTGCACCAATCCAACAGTTGTTCTTATTCACCTGTTTATGATGATTGATGATAAATGTGGGAGTATCTAGGCACAGGATCTATTCTTTAGACCTCATGGCAGGCTGTTCATTATTGGTTCTTTGGTAGTGTTCACTTAAAATATACCAACCACATAACATGTCCTATACTTCATACATCATCTTAGGAAATGGGGATAAAAATTTTAATTGTTATTGTCCCAGAAAGTCAGTCGTTTTGAAGTGTTGTTCCTTCCTGCTTAAATGTAGTAGTTGTTGTTTCAGTTGTTTCAGTCACAATGGCTCAATCTCTGTGCAGTGATTTTAGTTGAATAGTTATAGATAAGAAAGCTGATGTAATGAAAGATGAGAGTGCGGAAGGAACTGAGAGAAAATTGGAATTTTTTAAAAGGTTAGTCAGATGTATTTCTCATGTGTCTTTCAGTTTGTTTTTGCATTTATAGTATAGTCTTGAACTTTCAAGCTTTCTCACCCTATCCTCTTTGAATGTGCTTTAATGGCACGAGAGTTGAAAATGTATTTTATTGTGAAGGAGCCTAAAAATGAAACCAGGTAAAAACCAGGTAAATAATGATGTGTCTGTTTTGTCTCTCTTTATGTCTCTCAGGACCTTCAAGTGGATAACTATGCTACAGATACATGTCAGGACCAATCAGAACAAGCGCCCACAGGCACACACATGGCCTTGTGAGCTGTGACTGTGAACCGTACTATCAAGGAAATTCCTCAGTCCTCCAGGGTCACCGTGGGTTTTTCTATCTGCTGGTTTGTACAGCTGCACAAGCTTCTGTTTCCACAACACGCATACAGAACACACACCAGAGCACACTCTGTATGGACGTGCTGTCTTAGTTACTCGAGAGGTCACTGGAAGCTGGAAGTTATTGTTTACCCCAGCACATGCCTATGACCATGATGGCACGCTTCAATTAAAAACGTTTGGGTCTGTCGTGTAGCATGACCTGAAGTGGATCTCTCTCATCATCAGAGTAAGTATTTTGATGTTAGCGATAAGTAAAGGTGCACTTGTTTTATGTAAGTCAATCATCTTTCAGTCGATTAATCTAGCTTAAACAGAGTAGATGTTTTTGAATACCCGGGAGAGAAGGGCGCAAATGCTCCATTCAGGGAGAGCTAGACTCACTATCATTAGTCATCTAGACCAGCTGAGTTCTAAACATGCTGTCACCTTACATAATATATAGGTTTTGAAGTCTGCAAATTTCATTTCCTCAGCAAATTTCATTTCCTCTTGCTGCCCTGTGGAGCCACTAATTGAGATGGAAGATGTCGCTTCTCAAATGTTACGAAGTCTTAGAGAAATGTGTTTGACTGATGCTTGCATCACAGATTGGTTTAAATGCAATCAATTTTAGATAAATAACGAACACAAGCCAAATTCTGAAGTTCTTCTAAATGCTGTTGGGTTAGATTTCTCCTGCTTAACTGTCATCAATTGTTTTCAAAGCTGCAGCAAAACAAAGGATAAAGCGGGACGCTCCAGGGATGGCTACTGAAGAAAATCAGACACAGGTCGGGGCTGCAGTTCTGGCTCAGCGTGCTTCACCTCCGTCTGCTGGGAGTCGACCCAGCAGGGAATCCAGACATGCAAGTAACAGCCAAGAACTACAGCGACACGGTGACCAATTGTGGCAGTCAAAACAGCGGAGCAGCCCTTCCCTCCTCTTATATAGGAAGTTGTCATGTGACAGTGGGAAAGGGACAATTTTGGACGAGGGACCTGAGTGTTTGGATTACAGCTCAAAAGTTTTGAGGACTGAAGAGAAACTTTATCCAGAGCCTCCGGCTGGCAAGAGAATTGAAGGACTAACTAACACGGTTACTCCAATACCTGGGAAAGGTTCAGAGGGATCTCCATGCCAGCTGGACACCTCAGGAGAGGGTGTGGATGCAGGCAGAAACAGAACTGGCAGCACCCATGGCTCCTGCACTATGTCTAGCCTTTACATGAGTCCAAACATCTACTGTTGCCACAGCCCCAGATCCAGTCCAAGCCCCAGCTCCAGCCCTGTACGGCGACACATCCGCCGCAGCAGCCTGCCTGTGTCTACGCTGGCTTTCCACAAGGTAATAAAGGAGGTTACTAGCAAATTGTGTACATTTGGCTGCAGCACCAAGGCTGAGTTATGTGCTCTAAAATGCTTGTTTTTTTTGCTCAAGATGAGAAAACATCACAGTGTTTACGTTGTGTTTACACACAATGGTTTGCCCGACGAGATAGCCCGTTCAAGGCACTTCTAAGTTAGCTCTACAGAAACATAATTAAGACTGTTTTAATTTGCTGTGTTTTCTGCTTCTAGACATCCCCCTACCTCTCACCTTGGTGCAGTCCATCCAGTGAACCGAACTCTTTGGTGTCCTCTCCCTGTAGTTCCCCCTCTGCCAACCACCGGCAGCATCACCAAAATGGACACATCCACCGGCACCGCCTGAAAGATGGCTACTCGAGTTTAGAGAGGCTCAACCGAAGGCCCAGGGTTAACAAATGCTCCCTGGAGAAACTATTCCTACGACGGGCATCTCTAGAAACCATGACAACAACCCTGAGGAACGAGGAGAGGTCATCCTCTCGAGTGGCCAGGAACTATAGTGGCCACTCGAGTGGCAGTGATGAGGGCGATGGAGAAGGTCTCTTGGATAGCACAGAGTTTATTAGGAACCGTAAAGAGCGTTCCACTGTCCTGGTGAGGCGTTTCTTCAAGAATAATCAAAAGGTATTTATATGCAAGATTCCTTTTCCCTTTGTATCTTGAACAGTTGTGTGTATTTTGGACTTGTTTTTTTTGTTTTTTTTTTATCTCTCTTGACAGCGTTCATTTATAGTATGCTTCTAAACAATGAGTCCTGCTGATATACTTTCCCTCCCTCCAAAAGGTGACCAAGTCAGTGTGTACTGGAACCAGAGCAATTGTCAAGACACTGCCGTCTGGACGCATCTCAGAGGAGGTCTGGGAGGTGGTTGTTTATCGCAGGACACGTCGACCCAGCAAGAAGGATGTATGGCCAATCTTAATGCGCGGTGGGGGAAAAGAATTAAGAGTCTACAGGGAGATACTACGTCTTGTTGGAGTTAAGCTACAGCAGGTAAGAGAATGAAAACACAGACTCTATGTATGAATTTCATAAGACTGCCTTTTAATCGCAGCACTCAAATGTGCTGTAAAAGTTGATGAAAACATAGAATCCAGACAGCAATGCAGTGAACTTCTCAGGTCTTGGATAGTTTATCTTTCACACCCAGGCTACTGTTAACGCTCTCCTGTTAAGGGAGGACTTTACCAGTGCATCTCAGAAGGATTTCGAGTAAGTTTGCAGTGTTAATCAGTGCAATTATACACGTTTTCCATAATCATCCTAAGCCAGGGGTTATTAGGGTTGCCTTTTTACAAGTTTAGGAAATATGTTGCAGTGGGAACTATTTAATCTTTATTGTGTTCATGGCCTTACATCACTGGCGTTTTGCTTTATAATGACATGGAATTTCCACAGATGATAAGGCATTGGGTTTGTATGTGGTTTGGCTTTTGAAGCAACCTTTTTCTCCCACAAGAAAAAGTGTGATACTCAAAAGCTGCAGTGGTAGAAATCACTTGATTGATTCTTGGTTCAACGGAGAAGAATTGTTCTTGGCTTTTGCTCTCCTGTGTTTGGGTTGAAATGTTGTGCCAGTTATGCTTGACAGATGCATAATTTGTTGAAGGAATATGTTAATAGACCAACACACACATCCTTAGAAACACATACACACAGGCTCTTTGTTCAGGGTAGGCCCTGCTGCGGAAAAATGATTTATTCTCTGTTAGTTCTGCTCCCCATATTACTGACAGACTGACTGAATGACTGAGCCTTCTGTGTGTGTGGGTGTGGGTGTG